AAAATTTTTATTAAAATTTAATAGATGTATTGTTGAATATATCACACATTTTTTAAAAGACAACTTATCAAACTATTTTTAAGACTTCATAAATACTTCACTAATCAGCAACAAACATTTATCTTTATAAACAGCTGGGGTTTGCAAATATTTATTCATTCATTCATTTTCTTGTCGGCTTAGTCCCTTTATTAATCCGGGGTCGCCACAGCGGAATGAACCGCCAACTTATCCAGCAAGTTTTTACGCAGCGGATGCCCTTCCAGCCGCAACCCATCTCTGGGAAAAGTACTGAACTATTGAAATGTATTTAATACTTCATATAAAAGGCTTTTTTGGTGATGGCAGCTTAAAGATGTCTCATATGAAGAATGAAGTCACATGAATTATTCAGGGGTGATTTTTTTTCACAGACAAGTGTACAAATCTTGATGGTTCTAGGGTATCGAATGATCTTTAAGTTGAATTTTATATTGGATTCAAGTGAGGTGATTGGTTGAGTAATTGTAAAGTTTGATTTTGTTTTTCTGAAACCATTTGAGAGTTGTCTTGGCTGTGTTTTGGATAAATGTCCTGCTGAAATGTCCACTCTGGTTTCATCTTCACTATCCTGATAATGTAGAGGTTGGATTGAATCAGCTGATAATCATTTACAGTGATGAAGAGCAGAGGGTTGCTGAAAAACTACTGAGAGATTTCAGCTGCTATCTGGGCTTTCACTGCCTTCTACATCTCCCTTTCTTCATGTGTTCAACACTTTCCATTTTTATTCATGATTAATTTTAGATGATTAATTACAGATAACGTAATTTGTAAACTAAATAGTTTAGGTTTTCTTTTTGGATATATTCATTTTTTGGTTGTTACTAATATCACAGAAAATGTTGAGTCAACAATACCTTTATAAATATGTTTTCTGAGAAAAAATGGTGAAGTGCTCAATACTCATTTTCCCAGCTGTATGAATTATATAGTGAAATGAAATTTTTGTCTTGTTATACAGTATATAACTATATACAGTATATTCAATAATATGTCTGTTAAATGTTAATTTAAATATTCTAGCTTATGAGACAAAATAGAGTTGATGTGAAGATGCAGTACATTGTGAAACATTGTTACAAGTTTTTTTCATATCGTCTGACCCTATAATGATTGTACTGTATTTTATTTTATCCTGATTCTGTATTGCATTTGCAAATGAAATTCCAGCAATCAAACTGAAATAGATATAAGACAGACTTTAACATATTTACTTGAACATGGCTTGGATTCCTCTTGTTCCTCTTCTAAATTAGAGTCACTGCTCTCAGATGGAGATGATGAGTTAATCATGTCTGAGGCAGTAGAATCTTGGATTCCCTCCCATTCCCTTTTGATGGGAATGCCTGAGCTGTTGTCTGCTTAAATAACCAAAACATTTACAATAGTTAATCATGGTTTTACTTTAAATTAAGCAAAAAATAAACAAAATCAACCATGGTTTTGCCACACTCACCATAGTTTACTGTGGTATATTTACAGTAATGCTGTGGTTGTTTGAATGTTAACCAACACACAAAACAGCCATGATTGCTTAACTTCTTCTATTATACATGACTTTCTATGGTGAAAGTTTAGTTGAAGATGATATTATAAAAAAGGTTTGTTCACCCAAGTGAACATATTAACTTTTTCCGAACATTATTATTATTAACTTTTTTATAAACATATTTTGGAGAAAGCAGGAAAAAAGAAATCTAGCAACCTGTAACCATTGATATCCATAGTAGGCAAAACAATTACTATGAAAGACAATGGTTACCGGTTTCCAGCTTTCTTCAAAATATCTTCTTTTAGGTCCAGCAGAAAAAAAGAAACTTATACAGATTTGTGACAAGAGAAGGATGTGTAGATTATGGCTGAATTTTCTGTTTTAGGTGAACTACATCTTTAAAAACGAAGTTAGTACACAATGAAAAAGTAATTTGATTTAAAATTAAAAAGAAATAACACAATTGAGTCAAGATTACGACCTACAACTTAATTACAGTTGACATCAGAATTTTTACGCCATGAGCCCAGAAAGGTCAATATTATGGCTTTCTAACATGAACATAATTTAAACCAGTCAAATGAAGTAAAACCATACAGAAGTGGAGCTTACCTGAGAGGAATCCATAATGCTGAAGATGCAGCAAAAGTAACCTCTCATAAGGATCGTCTGATTTCTTCTTTTCGACGCGAAAAGAGAACATTGAAGTGAGTTTAAACACAAGAAATAGGGCAGAAGGTTAAAAGGCATTGAGTATCAATGTTCTGGTATGTTAACAACAAGGTAATATTAGACTGTAACCGTAGAGTGCAAAAGGCAGGAGCAAATTTTGTGGGTTCACTAACCTGCATTCCTGTAACCGTAAGAGCGACTGCACGCAAGTCATGAAGTCATTGTAAACAACGCCAAATAACCTTACAGTTTACCAGAGCCTGGAAAAATATATCGAGTGACAGCGCTCCTTTAGTTAAGAGCACATTGCTTTAAACCGATAAGAAAAGCTGCATACTGTTCCAAACTAGTTTTTTAAAGAGTTTAATATGTTCCTGGTAGCCTGTTAAATAACAACAGTTTTTTAAAAAGGAAATCTCTATGTTATAATTATTGTCCAGGCGCCATTTGTGTCATGGTTGCCATGGACACGACGCACGTTTCCTGCAGGAAGCACGCAGAAAAGAACAGAAGTCTTGTCGGTTAAGATAAATGACCGACAATCTTTATTTTGCGTTAGTTCGTTGTTATTACAAATATGACAAACTTGTGCATTTAAAATAGAGAAAACAAGGGTTAACGTAATTGTTTCAGAGGTCAAAATAACAAACTTTTCACTTGTTAAAAATCAAGGTTATTCAATTAAAAACTGATTTCTTACATCGTCTTTTATTAAAAACATTGTGCGGTGTTGTCTAAAAACTAATATATACGTCCTCTAAATTAGATTTTTTTTTAACCTTTAATAAAGGTATTTTACTCAAACATTCATTCATTTTTTATTTTTGCTCAGTGTCTTTATTAATTTGGGGTTACCACAGCAGAATGAACTGCCAACTTGTACAGCATATGTTTGACGCTGCAGATGTCCTTCCAGTTGCATTCATAATACAATATATATATATATATATATATATATATATATATATATATATATATATATATATATATATATATATATATATATATATATATTACATACGTTTAAAATTTGTTAAAAGTATAATTATTGTGGAGACAATTACATAATCAAAATATATATATTTGTTGGCTTTTGGTCCAAATTGATTGAGTATAACTTCTATTCAACCTAATGCGTTTGGTTGATGAAAAATCACATGTACATGTATTCACAGCCTTTGCAGCTCTAAATTGAGCTCAGGTACATTCGGTTTCCACTGATCATTCTTGAGATGTTTCAGCAGCTTAATTGGTGTTCACCTGTGGTAAATTCAGTTGATTGGACAAGATTTCATAAGGCATACACCTGTCTATATAAGGTCCCAGGGTTGACAGTCATGTCAAAGCACAAACCTAGCACGAGGACAGGACTGTCTCAAGGCACAAGACTGGGAAAGATTACAGAAAAAAATTGTGCGGCTCAGAAAGTTCCAATGAGCAAAGTGGCCTCCATCATCCAGAAGATGTTTGGAACCACCAGGACTCTTCCTAAAGCTGGCAAGTAATCTAAGCTGAGTGTTTGGGGTCGAAGGGCCTTAAGTCAGGGAGGTGATCAATAACGGAGAGATGATGGTCACTGTCTGAGCTCCAGCATTTTTCTGTGAACAGAAGGACAACCATCTGTGCAGCAATCCACCAATCAGGTTGTATGGCAGATTGGAATTCCCACCTGGAATTTGCCAAAAGGCATCTAAAGGACTCTCAGACCATAAGAAACAAAATTCTCTGGTCTGATGAGACTAAAATTCAACTCTTTGGAGTGAATGCCAAGAGTTATGTTTGGAGAAAACCAGGCATCGATCATCACCAGTCTAATACCATCCATACAGTGAAGCATGTTGGTGGCAGCATCATGCTGTGGGGATGTTTTTCAGCAGCAGGAACTGGAAGACTAGTCAGGATAGAGGGAAATATGAATGCAGCAATGTACAGAAACCTCTTGAATGAAAACCTGCTTCAGAGCGCTCTTGACCTCAAACTGGGGCGACAGTTCATCTTCCTGCAAGACAGTGACCCAAAGCACACCGCCAAAATATCAATGGAGTGGCTTCACATCAACTCAGTCAATATCCTTGAGTGGCCCAGCCAGAGCCCAGACCTAAATCCTATTGCACATCTCTGGAGAGATCTAAAAATGGCTGTACACAGTCGTTCCCTGTCCATCCTGATAAAGCTTGAGAGTTACTGCAAATGGGCAAAAATTCCCAAAGACAGGTGTGCCAAGCTTGTGTCATCATATTCAAAAATACTTGAAGCTGTAATTGCTGCCAAAGTTGCAGCAACAAAGTATCGAGCAAAGGCTTTGAATACTTATGCATGTGATTTTTCAGGTTTTTTATTTAATAAATTTGAAACAATTAAAAAAAAAAATCATTTCACATTGTCATTATGGGGTTTTGTGTGTACAATTTGGAAGAAAAATGAATACTCGCTATGAATACTTTCCGGATGCACTGTATGTTGCTCTGTTATTATCACAAGGAACTGTGTAATTGTTTTTGGTTTACTTTCCCCGATTTTATTAAATGGATAACTGGCGATTGAATGCATGTTGGCTCAATTGGGTAGGGAAAATAAGACCTGTTTAAATTGATTTAAGACCTACACAATATTTCAGAGACTTTAATTGGACACCTTGTTTTAATTTTAATCCTAATCTGAGAAATGCACCAAAGTGACTGAGGAAAAACTGTAATGATAACAGCAAACTAAAAATTAAATGTTTACATTTAAAGTACAACCAAATGTTCCAAATCGTCAAAAAGTACATCAAAGCAAAAAATTCACCAAAATATTTGTGGAAAAGAGTTTATTATCTACAGTGTAGAAAAAAGTTCAATGGCTTGTCAATGCCCAGCTCAGGAAACATTTACACTGAACGTCACAAAATTTAAAAGACATACTGTATTTATGAACCGGAGCCATTATTGAAGAGAAAAGAAAGCGGATACAATTGAGTTGACCCTCACAGAATATCGTTGGTGGGGGGAGATCATTGGTTCACATATGAAGCAAACCTTAAAGTGCGATTGAGTGGCCAACATGGAAGTCTGAACTATTAATTTGGAAGCATGGCTCTGAACAGTGGTCAGCTGATCTGATAAAGATTGATCTTTCTGTTTGTATAAAAAGATAAATGTATAGTTAAGCATGGCGTATAAAATATTTAATGCACTGTCTGATGTCACTGTAGTACTGAGCTCACTGTATACCCTTTGCACGCATTTACAAAATGTAGGAGAAACTGAAGTAATGGACAGTCCTTTAATATTGTTTTCATTACGGTTTAATTTAAAGATAAATCGCGCACAGCTTCTGTAGTTTGAGTTACTAAAAAAAAAAATAATAATATTCTGTACATATTTTAACTGGTTTCAGGTTCACTGCACCTTTAAGAGAACGCCTGAATATTAAAGGCTGTTAAATGCAAAATAATTTTACAACAACCCCTAACAAAGTATATGTTTAGTCACAAGATGATGCATTTTAATAGAACAAAATGAAGTGGGCCTAAAATAGGCTCCAATGGGCAATGTGTCCGTATTAAAAAAAAAAAAAAAAGAAAGAAACATTCGTTCAAATTTGTCCTCTTAAACTTGGTAAGAGTGACACGACAGCACAATGCAGTTCAGTCCAGCCCTGCCAGAGGCTCTAGTTTTTCCAGGACCAATGTTATGAACTCTGCATCATCTTTCTTTTCTTTAACAATCTTTCCCTCCAGTCGTCAGGCAGCGCTTCAAAGTTTGCGTTCTTCCCAGCTTTCCCTCTGCAAATTAAGACAAAAATGGCATTAATAACTTGCATTTTCTACCCATACTGGCAAAGCCTTCTTTCGACTTACGTTGAAAGCTGTTGTTGTTTCCATTCTTCGATGCGTCTGTTGTTCAGCTGATCTCGATCTTCATCGCTTGAACTTGACTTTTCTTCCTCATCAAGCTCTTTCTGAATGCTTTGCCACTTCTTTACAAGTGACGGCATCTTTGTCTTGCTCTTCTTTGCCTTTAGGAAAAAGTGACAGCTAATGACTTGGCATGAATTGTTTTCAAAATTATTGTTAAACAAAACCCTCACATCAAAGAAAAACTAAACTCACACAGTGATATAAACTAAAACAAACAAAACAAAATATTTTTAAAGAAAAAAAAAAAACCATCATACCAAAGAAAAACTAAACTCACACACAGTGATATAAACTAAAACAAAAAACAAACAAAACAAAATATTTTTGCAGACAAAACCATCATATAAAAAAAAAACTAAACTCACACACAGTGATATAAACTAAAACAAAAAACAAACAAAAAACATTTTTCCAGACAAAACCATCATATCAAAGAAAAACTAAACACACAGTGATTTAAACTAAAACAAACAAAACAAAAAAAACTAGGGCTGTCAAATGATAAAAAAAATTTAAGTGATTAATCACACTTTTTTTGTAATTAATGATGATTAATCACGAAACATAATTAATTATGATTAATAACGAAATGGCGTATTTATTACAAAAAACACAGGCATGTAAGTGCCATTTAAATTTCAAAACAATCCATGCCAATAACAAACAAAATCGCTTTTCATGTTGGGTTCTAAGTGAACTACAAACGCACACGCACACACAGAGAGAGACAATGTGCGCAGTGCCGGTGAGCGAGAGGGATCCCTTCAGATTCATCAACACGCACTATCGCGTTTGCTTAAACGAAGCATTCTAAAATAAAACAAGCAAGGATTCTGACAGAGTAACGTGAAGCAGACGCTTTACAAAAAGGGGGATACACTTCAAACTTAATGAAACATTTGAGCGATGCAGGTTAAGGGAAGAGAAATGTTTTTGACAGCTTGCGAATTCATCTGGCACTTTCATTCAAATGGACATCAATACTCAGCTTTGCTGATTAAGATAATACTGATCAAGAGTCGACCATGTAAACAGCGATTTTTGATTATCTTAAATGACCACGCGAGTCCCAAAATGCGCAGGTTTTTCTTTCCGTTTGCTATGCGGTATCAAATTCCATTAAAACATCCTGAATGAAATTATGCTGAATGACAGTGAACTGCTGAACTGCAGTTAAAGTCTAAATATGAAAAAAATGATACACCCGAAAATTATTTAATAAAATACTTGCGCTTCAGCAGGCAGTATGCCGACACACAATGAACATGTGGTGGCCATTGAAGGTGTCAGATGCAGAGCACATACGCTCTTGACAATTCTGGAAGTAATTAATAATATAATAACACATATACTGAAGCGATTAGGGTGTCTTAGAATGACCAAAACAACATTTCAGATGTTTTACTATGTGCTCAGCCTGCTGGTTTGTCCATTCACACACATTTTTATCACATGAACTCTTATAACGAAACTCACATGTCCTTTTTTGTGCATACTGGAATTTGTTCGGTAAAGGTGTTTACGTCATAGTTTATGCTCATCTTTAAAAAGCTTATGCTATTATGAGCATCTTAGAGTTTCCATCAACTGGTTTATTATGCGCATGGAAACGTAGCTAGTAATGTAAACAAACACACGCAACTTATATATTTTGTACAGACAAATCTCTCATATCAAGAAACACAAAACACACACTGATATAAACTAATACACAAAAAAACAGAATATTTTTACAGACAAAACCCTCTCATCAAAGAAAACTAAATGTACACACAGAGAAATAAAACACAAAAAAACATAACAAAAGCCGCCACACCCTTAAAAAAAAAAAAAACACAAAATCTGTTTACCAAAAGAATACAAAAATCCACAAAACAACAAAGAAAAGCTTCAAAACAACAAAACTAAATAAAAATACCCTACAAAGCACCGTTCCCAAATAAAATCTCCAACACAATACAACAAATATTAAAAAAAACAAGCAAAATAAAGTTTAACAGTAAACAAACACACTGTTGACCAAAAGATTACAACAATCCACAAAAGAAGAAAAGAGAAACTTAAAAACATAACCAGTCAAGAAAAAAAAAGAAGGGATTCTTGGGGGCGTGAGTGATCACTGTGCTCATGTCACAGCAGCTAAAATCTACATTTTATACAGTCTATTGGCGCAACTCGTGGTCTGTTTGTTGCCAGTGCAACCCTTTTATGTCCAGTGTTTTGTGCTGCAGCGACGCAAGCTGAGCCATCACTGCTATCTAGTGTCTCATCCAACCCTATGGCATCTCCCGGAAGCTCTGTGATTCTCCCACATAGGCCTCTTCGTAGTGGTGCTGTGGTGCCCGCAATATAAATATCCCAGAAATCATGGCGACAGAAATAAATGAACAAAAGAACTGATCGCGAGAGGCACAGTGATGTTCTAAGCTTTATATTTGTTAGGTGAAATGAATAGTGCAGTAAAGAAAATCCCGCTCTCTCATTCAACTGCAATCAGAGACCTGCTATCAAGAGTTGATAGATGAGCAAATATTTGAATTGCCTTGCATGTACAGGGCTGATAGCGGAAAAAATTCCTGAGCCTGAACTTTTTTTCCTTGCCCCTGAGGTGAGTAGGGGTGGGGGTACTATGTATGCAACGCACTTTTAACACATAACTTGTGGGCCCCTGGGCCCAAATATATTAACAGCCTATGTGTAACCCTGATCATCATTATTGTCAAGTGGCTCTTTTTAGACACATGCCAGTAATGTCAGTGACACATGCCAGTGTCAGTGATCTTGTGACATGTGCCAGTAGGTGTCAGTATAAGCACGTTATAAGCACATTAATCTTATAAGTCTCTTTGCTTTAATATTTAAAAATCATTAGGCAAATGACACCTGTTATCTTACATGCATATATGTTATGAGTTTTCAACATGCATTTTATTATAACTTTTTAAAGGATATTATTTAAAATACCTTAAAATGAAAATAAGTTAAATAATAAAATAAATGAATGAATTAAAAACATAGAGAAGTCCATATTGTAGGGAACAAAGGAACTGCCAGGATGCAATAATATACAGTACAACAGATAAGTGTAACCCCTCCCATACATAAGCATGCCACAATAAATTTGACTGACATGTACTGTCAAATGACTATATTACATACGGAAGTATGACTACGAATACATAAAATAAATGCGTTTAAATTAAAACATCGTGGAGTAGCTCAGCAAATAAACTAACTTGCGACGCGATAAATTAGGTTAAAAGTCGCGTAATGATTAAATATGGTTTTGCTCGTGTTAATTAATGTCATAAGCTTCGCCGGGTGTCGATGTCACTGCAGTGACATGCAGCGCGACACTCTGAGTGACACAGGTCACTACACATGCCACTAGCGAGTGACACATGACAGTGGAAACCCGGACGTGCCACCGGAAGTGTCACTACACTCAGTGGCATGTGCCAGTGTCATCTGTACGTCAGATGTCATGTCACTCCATGTTAAAACTGCTACTGGGAATCCGCGTTCAAGCGCACACAATAAGCTAAAACTCGCCCCAAGCACCGGAAAAAACAAATAACAATGAATGTGTCGAGGAAAGAGTAAGGACATATCTTAATTATTTATTAATAAACTTATTCTGAGTCAGTGTCGCAAAGATCCTGACTGGCATCTCCTCTCGGACTCGCCTTTACAAATTCATCTTTACGGATTACATGAAGGAGTTTTTTTGTTTTCTATTTGTTTTATTTCGTTAAGTAATAATTTAAAGCTTTCTATAAATATATTTATTATGTCTGTGAGGCATATACATTTTGCTTCATTTTGTTAAGCGCTCCTGTTCAAAAACCAGACGACAGAAAGCGCATAATTTTGGTTTTCTTTATTTTATAAAAATCGCTGTAACGTTTTTTGATGTATTACTCGTACTTTGTGAGCAAAAATGACGGATAACTTTAAATTGCTCCCACTGAAAAAATGCAAGTGATTGCTCTGGCGCCTCGATGTCCTGCAAGCTTTTTTATAAGCAAACTATGCGCCTAATAGCACATTCTTTAACGTTTAAGCTACCATTGTTTTATACTTGAACTGTTTTATATCTTTTATTTTAGGCAAGTCGTGATGATCTGAGAAGGCAAACTGATCAAACAGACAATGATGGTCTTCCGCTGGCGCTGTTCGTTAAAAAAACTTATTTTTAACGAATAAAAAATGCTCCAAACGTTTTTCTAAATAAGCTAAATAAAAAACGAAACTAAGGATAAACACTTTGCCATTAGGCTACATACAAAACTGAACTATTTCATAGCTGAAACACTAAGTTGTTTAAGGAGAAGGGGGAAATATATTTTTGTCCCATCTATTGCTTCACCGTTATTTCGAGAATAAACCCAGCGTAAATATGCAGATGTCATTCCCAAAACATATCAGCGTATATGTGCCGAAAACGAAAGTTTCATACAAATTCTGAATGGATTATAGCCTGGAAAGTGCAAAGCACGCTCCTCTTATTATCACTAAAAAGCGTCACTAATCTTAGTTCATAGAGATCTCACAAAGATCCGTTATAATTTACAAAGCTCTCTAAATTACACAATTAATCTTTTATTTACATGGCGTCTACACTCAAAAGATGATTCACGAGCACACAAAATGGCACTTAATAAAAACCAATCCGGCGCTTTCAGCAGTGAGTGAATTCTGTGAATCTAGAGAAATGACAGATCAATATCCGTGAACCTGATTTTTTTTTTCCCGCAGCCACAGAACGCCGGAAATCCGGCGTGGTGCCGGAACGCTATCACCCCTGCATGTATTTAGGCCGTTTTACATACAAGAACTGAAAGTTCTATGTTTTTGATAATATTGCAAGTTCACTAAAACCTGGCTGGAAACATTAATGTAACAAATAAAATAAAAATTAAAATATATATTTCAAATATAAAATAAATATTCTTTACTTATTTAATAATATAACCTTTTCTAATATAGGCCTTGTTATTGCAATAAACAGTAAGAAGTAAAGAAGTAACGTATTAATAGGTGTACATTAACTTTTTATGCATCATGCTTCAAACTTTTCTTGATTGAGACATGTTAAATTCTTCTTCCATCATTTGCAGTGTTTCTAAATTGCTTTGTTAGTCATTTCTTACCCATTATTTAACATGTTTTATCTATTATTTTTTGTAAACCTGCATCTGACCATAACAAGTCCACACTAAATGGTTATAAGAGATGCGTTTAAGGGATTTTATGCAACATCCTTCATTTATTCTCTTAGGTAAGGAGAAAACTCCACTTAAGTATCATACTTGGAGGGAAAACGTGCTTTAGGTATTATAAAGCTTGAAGCATCAGAATCGGTACTTTGTATCAGCTGATCACTATGACAAGGAATTGGTACTTGGTATCGGGTGCAAAAATCCTGATTGGAGCATCCTTAATTAAAACAAAACCAAACACAGCAAATAAATAATAAAAATAAACAAAATATAAACAAAACTACATACCAACCACAGTGCCAGAAAATAAATACAACTCAAAAGTCTCCTTGCCCCAAATTAAGACACAAGTTAAAGGTGCAGTAGGTGATCCTCCACAATGCTAACAGCTTAGCACAAATCTCTGAACCACAGTCCCTCCCCTGTCAGCTAGAGCCACGCCTCCTGAAACACGAGCACAGCAAAAGAACCCTCTCTCATGTGTTAAAAGCGACTAGTGCTTGTCCGGCGGCGTGCAAGCCAAACTGACATGCTATTTCAGAGCAAATATTTAGAGTTGCATGGTAATCAATATAGAAAGAGACTAGGCGGAATAGCAGTATTTACTTGTGTTTTGTTGTAAAACTAATTAAAATCTGCATTATCGAGGCTGTGAAAGGACCCTTATGAAACTGAAAATAGTCTTATCAATCTTTCATTGGAAGATTTTAGTGGCTGAACAACACTTCTGTAAAGATATTGTTACCCGTTTGTTACAACAAAATCTAACATTACATCAGCTTTGCAGGAAGCTAAAACAGTTTTAAAACAAAACATTACCTTTCTTAGAGAAATCCTTCAGACATTGTGTCATCCTTTCTCCAGCGTGCAAAGGTAACTCCAATATTGATTCAGGTTTTTAAAAAGTTTTGATTCAGCAGGTTTATACCCCTCGCACGCACACATGCTCTCTCGTGAACGTGCAGCGGTCGGCGGAGCAGCGTACAAACGGCTGCGTGGTTTTTCAAATCTGCATTTGCTGACAGACAGATTGGGCCACTTATCGGAATTATGAGAGTTCAGTCAGTCCGACTCTATTAATTGGATGAACATTTTTTAGTTGTATGCCTTACCCAAAATATAAAAATACATATAAATACATTTAGATCATTTACTTTAATCATTACTATTAGACTGTGAAGAGACTTTCAACCAGCACAACAAAAGATGCTTCTGAAGACAATCACCTACTGCACCTTTAAAGGCAACATCAACATCTGAAAACCCCCAAACCCACCTTTTCTTTCTTTAATTTCTTTGTTTTATCTGTGAGGACTTTGCTTATTGGTTCCAGGGGAGGGGGAGGCTGTGAAACAGGAGGGGGTGGTTGTGGTGGCAGGGCTGGCATTGGTGGAACTATGCTCTCTGTAGGCAGAGGAGGCGCAATGGCTGCTGTCATCCCCCAGTAAGCACTGCCTACTAGAAGTGGAGCTGTGAAAGAAAAAAACAGATGAGTAACAACATCTTCACATATAACAGGAAGTTTTTTGAAGGTAACAATAACATGTAGAAAGTCAGTTTATCCTCACCAGGCGTGGCAATGGTCTGAGTGTAAAGAATGGGGCTGCTGCCGATGGTGGCCATGCTGGGCAATGGGACTGAGCCCAGGGCCTTGCGTTTCTGGGCTCTAGCAGCAAGTCCTAAAGCTGCAGCCTCAGCAGCCTGAGGGGGGAAAGATCATCAAAATTTTCAACTTTATGGTGCATTAATTGTTGATAATCCTTTAAATTAATAAATCTTAAATAAATGGTCATGAATGTCATTAACATGTATAGTTTTGAAGCTCGGTGATTACAAGCACACCATGAACAAAAGGTGTTGAATAAAAAATGTGTTTGTGGACAAGACTGTTATAACACGTTTAATGGTCATCATCATCCTTAAAATGTTCTTGAGAAGTATTCAAATGCTTAAAAGTTTTTAAAATATTTACATTTTTGTTAAAAAAAAAATTATGTACATTTATATGTATTTACATATGGAGTCTTGATAACACTATTGCTGACTTTCTCTTTTCATTTAAGCAAATAGGATCGTGAAAATACATTTGTTATGCTGCGCTATAAGTTCACCCAACTATGAAGACGTCCGCTGCTGAAAAACACAGAAATGTGAAAACGTTCTATTAAACACAGAATTGGGGCATCAGTTTACCATCCAGGGTTGCCATGTTGCACACAGCATAATCAAAAAATTACTGATTATTAGGGATGCGCCGAATGTACAGTGTTCAGTATGCTAGTTTTGCTCCCTCCAGACATTCACGGTCTAAAGCAGCTTTTACACTGGATGTGGAAAGCACTGCACTATGAAACCCATTTATTTCAATGGCTTGTGGCTGTTTGTTGCTGCACAGAGCATAGTGCAAGATCTTTAAAGATTTTCAAACTAGTTCAATATTCTACCCTCTTTTCATATATGTATGAACTGAACATGCTCACTGGTAAAGCAAAGTCAGATGAAATAATGCGCTGACAAGACGTTTCTATGTATTAAACACATATGCTTACAATAGCTCTACTGTGCCGTTATGGCAATGCAATTTAACATTATAATATAATATTTAGTCAAATGAATGATTTACAATAGCACGTCATTTAGTTTTGTCATTTATTCAATTTTCTATTAGGGCTCCACACCATTTTTTTTCCAGTCTGGCATCAGCAGCAGACTTTATAAACACCCTAAAACCCAAAACGTCTTCAAAGGGGAGAAATCTATCCAGACAGTTGTGGCACATCATGACATATACGCAATCTAATCAGTATGCAAAACATGGCCATTATTTTTTTCAGTTTAAAGTAATGTTTATCCCACTCCTCTCAAACTGTTACACTGTAAAAAAATAATCTTGAGGCTTGTAATTTTCATTATAAACAATTGATGTGGTCATTAAAAATTTGCATATATATATATATATATATTTTTTTTTTTTTATTGACATTCTAGATTTATTATAAAATATTGAGATGATTTTGCAAAAAAAATATTACTAGAAATTAGAGAGAGAGAGAGAGAGAGAGAGAGAGAGAGAGAGAGAGAGAGAGATTTAATTTTATTGCCATTTCAGCTTCTATGGCTATTTCATGGCAAAAAGAAAATAGATCAAGTTTATCACTTTTTATAAACACCAATTTTGTATAATTATAAAAATATTCTGACAAATAAAAGTAATCAACAGCAATAAAAAATGTACAGGGTAAAATACATAAATAATAATAATAATGATAATATATAAGATAAAAATCTAAAACAGTTTTTTAAAGATTTCCTTTTGATTAAAAATTCTACAGTTTTAGATGGATTCACATTTAAAAATATTTCCTTTAAAGTCTCTCCAGATAAAAATTGTTGTCTGAGAACATTAAAAATGGGGCATTCCACAAGAATATGTTTAATTGTTTGGTTTCTGTTGCAATATAGACATTTTGGTGGTTCTTCTCCTTTAAGTAAATATTCATGCATGAGTCTCGTGTGTCCAATGCGGCATCTTCTATACACAATCTCATCGTGTCTTGACTTAAAAAATAAATTAGATTTTTTCCTATTTCAGGCTGAATTTTAAAAAGTTTATTTTCTGGGCACTGATTCCATTCTGCTTGCCATTTGTTGATAATATAGACTTTTATTATTGGCTTAAGATCTGAAGGTGGGATTTTGCACTCCTTTAGCTTTCCTGCTAAATTTGAAACCTATTAAAGCTAATCAAATTGAGGAAAGATGGCTTCACATTTTTTTTAAAGAAAATTCACTCAATTATGTGGATTTGATCGAGATGTTTGCATGTGAATCTCAAAAACGGCAGTGATCAGATTCACTGAAGAAGGCATTTTGAAGAAGCAAATCAACAGTGGACATGTTAAGAGGTAAGCATTACTATCAAGACAAAACATTTTAAAGTGACCTTGAACTCTTCTGTTCCAGGAGCTGGAGGCTCTGACTCTTCATCCTCCATCTCCACTTCCTCGATCTCTCCGTCATCCTCGAGGGGTGGTGGAGGTGGTGGAGGAGGAGATTCGGGTGGTGGAGGGGGTGGTGGTGGTTGTTCTGTAGGTGGAGGCGGCGGATGCTCTGGAGGAAGCGGAGGTAGTGGTGGCTGAGGAGGTGGGGGAACCATCCAATAAGACTGCACATCTCCTAAGAAAGTTCAAGATAAAAAAATAAGAACTAATTTTAATGACATATTTAACTAATTTAACGTGTGTTCAGTGATAATGATGACTGATGTGTGCACATCGGGGGAGATGTGTGTGTCTGTGGTCTTTCGCCGACTCGCAGGTGCAGAGAATAGGGTCAAACAGCTGCACGTTTGTGTGTGTATGGAATATCCGGTTGCAAAATGCAGCTAACAGTCCTACATGATGGTTACAGTTTGATTATGGCGTTTATATGTCTGTACTGCACATCAATAATGCGAGTAGACCATGCGTCTTCATTTGATTTGTGTTAACGATGATTATGACTTTAAGCATATCTAAAGTGCAATTCCAATCGCATGGTTACGAACCGGTTAATTTGTGTAGCAGCAGTTGTAGCAGCCTTTGCTTTTGGACACGGCAACCCCTAAGCTCTGGTGAAAAAAATCAGTTGTCACACCCGCCCAAGCAAACGAGTGACGCGCAACAGAGGCATCCTGGGTTGCCAGGTGTGTGCAAAGCACTTGATGTGCTGTTCAAATCCAATCCTGCCTCCAATCCTCAATGCTAAATTCACCCTCAGGCCGATCGTAACATCACAACTTTCCAACTCAACGAGGAATCACATCACGATTTAAGCCTGGTTTATACTTCTGCGTCAAGTGACCGGCGTAACCCACGGCGCATGCAACGGCCGTAGCTGTGCATTTATACTTCTGCGCGCTGTCTCTGTTGGTCTGCATTAACACTTCCGAAACGCTAGTTGGCAGTGAGGTGTAAATGTTCCTGTGTCGAGTTTCTTCGCTGCTGTTCGAGTTTCTTCGCTGGATGTACAAGTGGCTAAAACTCGCTCATTTTGAGGAGGAACATGCGGACGTGCAAGAACTTTAACTATGAGGTAAACACAAAACAAAACTTTCCATCCGGAGCTCCTTCATGGGACTCCACACTTGTAAACAATCGCTCTATTGGGCTAGCTCAGATTCATCAGCGCTACCAAGCAGACCAATCACAGAGCTTGCGCTACGCGTTGTTGCGACGTGTAGTTAAATTTTTTTCAGCGGTGCATGTCAGTGACGCCGACGGCGAAGGGCTACGTGTCAACGTCGTAGCATACGCCGGCGTTTGACACAGAAGTTTAAATCAGCCTTAGTCTCCCGAGATCTCGTCACATCCCTACTAGCTAGGTAGCAGTTGTGTAATATGCAATTCTAAGTCTACAGAATAATCCATTTTTTAAGCAACACTCTAATGGTCTAATCAGATTCAATTATTTATGATAAGCTAATTTAAAAGTGTTCAAATTAGACATGGGGGAAAAGCTGAACGAATGATAAAACTGTTTAGGGGAGTTGCAAAAGAAGTCCATCTCCGAAAAAAACTGTGTAGTGTTACATTTAAAACTGTAACCAAGCAATGATGTAAATAACATTAACGCATTTTTAAATAAGTCACAGCGCACAACCCTCACCTGTTACAACACCAGTGGTTTCAGCAGATGGTTGGCTACTATCTCCGTGCGCAGTTGCAGAAGGCAAAGGCGGCTTGGCTTCTTCTTCCTCCCCCCCAACTGGAAACTCCCACTGGGAAGCGCTGGTCCTCTCGTTCATGTAGAAGTACCGTCTGTGCTCTCTAGAGGTGGAGAAACAAACACACAGGAGCGTCTTAACAGCTTTTCTCTCGACTGCTTTCACGGTCATGAGACCCTTGGAGAGTTCAAAGGGAAGGGCTCTAGTTCCTTAATGAGGGGAATGTTGAACTGGGCCTCACTGGGAGCCCAGAGGAGAAGCCAGATTAAAATGGGTGCACTGAAAAACGACCCACCTTATTTTATAAAACAAAACAAGGCAGGAAAAAACAAAAAACAAAATAGAGAAATCTCCAATCCTGAAAAAGTTTATCAACATCGTTACAATTCATTTTAGTCTCAGTTGCCATGGCAATACTCACACTTACAGTGACAAAACCCTCCGCTAGATGCCTTAAGGTAGGCATCTTCAATGGAGGGTAATAAAAGACAACATTTGCTTTAATTAACAATCATCAATAGCATCGAGCATGGAAAAATGAAATCCAGTAAACAATGAAATAGATTGGTCTGACCTTCAGGCTCCGAGGGCAAGGCATCGTCTTCCTTTACTGATGCTTCCATGTGGTCACTCTGAGTCACTCATTTCTCCCATCATTTTGAGGGGTGGTCCTGCAAAGTTCAAAGCTCTCGCACGCGCAAAAACCACCTTCCTAACCCTTTTTGACTGACTTTGAGGGGAGGAGATGAGGCCTGATTCTGTGGAGGCCGGGCTGGTACTTTAGAGGCGCTCCCTTATCAGGGTTACCTTCTGTCTTTATCCGTGCTCGTAAAAAACACTCCCCAGTAATACAAACAAGTGCAAATCAGTCGCGCGTTTGTCAGAGCGGTGGAGGCAGTGTCAATCGCCACATGAGGAGGGGGGAGGGGGGATAGGGATGTGAAAGGTAAGGAGCGCGTACCTGTCCCAGTGGCAGGACCAGCCTTTGGGAGTGGCGTTAAGTTCGTAATGTTTTATGTGCTCGGCGGCTTCCTGCAGCCTGCGTCGGAGATAGCTTCCATTCAGAGCGCCCTCTCGCCAGTCTGCGATCCGTGTCTGGATAGAAGGAAAAAAAGGCCGAATTTTAATATGCAGATTGACAGTATAAATCACTTGAGGCAGATGTTTACTTTGAGTGTTCAATGTGACCCACGGTGCCCGCCTTGCACGTAGCTGTGCATTTATACTTCTGCGTGCTGTTTGTGTTGCTCTGCAATAACACTTCCGAAACACTAGCCTAAAGTAGCTAAAACTTGCTTAGTCAGAGCCGGGAACCGGTGGATATGCAACTTTAATCATAAGGTAAACAAAATACAAAAGTCTCTATCTGGAGCTCCTTCACGGGACTCGACACTTGTAACCACACACTCCATTGGGCTCGCGGCTCTCAGTACCGCCCACGTCACCAGTACCAAGCCGACCAATCACAGTGCTTGCGTTATGCGACGGGTTACATTTTTTAAAAGTTGCATGTCATCGTCAACCACAACACTGGGGCATACGAGTGCGCTTGACGCAGAAGTATAAATCAGCCTTTAGACATGTGTCGATATTCAATGATGCAATATCGTGATTATGTAGAAAGGATACCGCTGCAGATTTTCACTTAATATAGCATTTTGTGATGCCGCACAACAACAGATATTTTTAAATTACTGTTAGGGGTAGGTTTAGGATTGAAGTAGATGTTAATAAAATACAATTTAATGTGGTATTAACTAATACAATTCTTGTTTTAATTGCTGTTTTTATCTTTCTGTGAGGGTTGGATGTAAACGTTAATGAAATACAATTTTATTTAATTATATAAAATTCCATTTAACTTTAGGCCACAGCTGTATCTCTTCTAGCAATAACCCTAAACACAATATGGTTATCATGGATGCTTCAAATACTGTCAAAAATGTATAATTAAAACTTTAAAATGACATTTAAGAATATTTCATTTGTTTAATTGGCAGTGGTTGTTTTCTGAACATTTACATTTCACATGTTAATCTGGCTGTCTGACGACATGCAAACAATATTGATTGAAAATGCTGTTTGTTTATTCATAGGTCAGTTATTCACAATCCATTTGTTAACATTTATTTTAAAAAATCTGTAGCTATTTTTCATGATTTAGCTTTTTTTTTATCATCTTCGGTAATGTAAATTCTTTTTAATGCTTAAATATATATATTTTAAAATTGAGTTAACTAATAAAATTCTAAACTAACATAATTATCAATGTTAATTTTAATGCATTAATGAGTAAACATTTTGTAAATATTAGTTTGCTCTGTGTATTGCTTTTATTTTAGATAAATGTTCAAAAGTATTTTTTGGCTATTATACCCGTTAAAACGACCTTCTTTGCAGCTTACACTTATAAAGTACATTGTGCTAAAAAGTCTGTTTATATGAGTATTATGCCAGTGTTTTCTTACCTCCGTTTGCAGCAACAGAAGCTGAAAGTTCGAGATGGCTTTTTTGTCAATTCCCAAGAACTCCATTTTGCTGGTGAGTGTGTTGGCAAGCTCTCCGATCTGAAACTAAAAGAGGAACGTTGTTAAGTTTTGATAAACATAATTTAGGTCACGCTACATTTTATATTAAGTTAATTTTAAATCAAAAATATTAAACTATTAGGAATATTCCTAAATATTAGGAAAATTACATTTTAAAATAGGAAACCAAATGTTCGTTTCAGTGTTACAATTTCTTTTTGTAGTGCAGGTAAATTACATTGAACAAGTGACAATAAGCAATGAAAAAATATATTTAAATGCCATGCCAGAAAAACAGTACTACTGTTATCAACACTCATGATAATGATGATAATAATAATAAACAAATGTTTATTATGTATAAACCAAATCAGAATATTACAATTTTTTGTTGTCTTTTTGTATGATTAGCCTAAGATTAGACTAATGCCTGCTTTTGCCATCACAATAATATATGACATTAATAAAAATACATAAATTAAAACACACAATAAGTTTTAAATGATTTGTGACTTCCTATTTTTTGTATTGTGTTTTTTCAGATTATCAATCTTTAAAAGCATTTACAGACTAAAAAAAAAAAAAAAAAAAACACTTACCAAACATATTCATACTAAACTGTAAAATTTTTAAAATAGTAACATCCCCTTTTATTCATGCACTCTAAAAAGTTATTCTTTTTTATGCATAGTTAAACCTCACTAAACCTTTTAGTCAGTTTCTTTTTTTAATGGTAAACAAAAATTTTGGAAATTGGTTACCACTGACATCCATAGAAGAAAACAAAACACACCATTGGAAGTCAATGGCTACTGGTTTCCAACATTTTTTTTGAATATCTTTTTTTTTGGTTCAGCAGACAGGTTTGGAACAAGTAAAAGATAACTAATGACACGATTTTCAGTTTTTAGGCACACTTTCCCTTAAAATGAAATTGGGTCAATGTTGATTCAACTGACTTCAATTTATAGAAATTACCTTGAGGTCCTCTTCTTCCTTTTGAAGAGCTTTGGATACAGGCTTCTCATTTTCATCATCTTCTCCTTGCTTCTCAGCTGGTTTGGAATGTGCTGGAAACAAAATGGTTCACTCGTTCATTTATTTATTTATTTATTTATGATACACAAATCCTTACAACTAGTCAGGTTAATAAGATTTCTAAGCCCTTCAGTTATTACGGTCAATCTTTACCAGTGTCTGATTGCTCTGGAGTGGCCCATCCTGCCTTGTCTGAGCCCCGACTGCTCGAGTCAGGACTTGGTGCACGGAGGAAAGCAGTCTTCCATTTGTTTTTCTTCAGAAGTAAAGTACGGGGCCCATCCTGACTGGCTTCAGAGCAGGGACTCGACCCACCCGCACTGGCATCACCTTCTTCCAAGGCACGAAGCTCAGCCTGTATAATCACAAACCCCTTCAATATTACATCATATACTATAAGAACAAAATAATAATGAAAAGGTCATATGTCACTGCTAAAAAAGAACATTAAGTGTTGATATAATGCTGTGTTTAAATAGTTCCAGCTAAAAAAATTAATTATATATATATATATTTGAAATAATTAACGCGTTAAAAGAATTAACGCAATTAACGCAGTTTAATAAAAGCAGTTATTAATTTTTTAAACACCATTTTAGGAACAAAATTATTAGCCCCTTTTTTCTCTATAATCTACAGAACAAACCATCGTGTTATATAATAACTTGCCTTGAGATTATATATATATATATATATATATATATATATATATATATATATATATATATATATATATATATATATATACACACATTTTTATTTATTTATTTTTACATATACTGTACTAGTCTCTGCTCCACTGTTCTAAAACATTTGACAAAGCAGTTTGTTGTGATTGGCTAAAAGTTTAAAGGAAATGTTATGCCCTTTTTGGAATTATAGCAATATCAGCTTCCAAAACAATTAAACTTTTTTCCAGTGTACCCGAAAGTTCTTTTCTTGGATTGATTTCAGACATCCAATTCATTCGCTACGGGTAAGCCCACACAAAATCTGTGCGTGCAAAAATGTAAATGTCTGTAAATTTACATTTATTAAATTTGTGTAATATTATTGAATAATATGCAAGTGATTGTATTATTTAGATATTAAACAGTTTCTAAGGTAACATTTTCTGTCCTTTAGTAGCTATATTATATGAGACAATTTGTTTACCAACACGTGGATGTAATTAAATTACTTGATTAAAATATCTTCAAATGGGCAGTTAAAAAGGTTCATATTTTCATGGTTTCCACTATATTCATTCTTCTATGGCTGAGCGCCACACCAAAATTCATCCCGCCACAGCTACATTACAGCTTCTTATTCAGTCATAGTTGTTGTTATTGTTTTTAACAGCAAGCTAGAAATTGTACCAAAACGCATAAAAAGGTAAGTGTATTATAACAGCACAAACTATTTTCTGTAACCATAGTAGTGCTGTGCGTTACTTGTTTAAACCTTTAGGGTGATGTGCTGACAGACAGACAGACAGCTACGTGATGCGTGAGGACAGCAAACACTGCGTAGCTTTCAGTTATGATAAACAGTTTCCATAATTAAACTATTTAAAGATAAAGGTCTGTGGTTCTGCATACAGTGACTTTATCTTGCTGGAGTTTAATGCTGTTTTAATTTACTTCAGGACGCATTACTACCGCTCTGTAGGTCTATTGGAGAAATTAATAAATATTCCAAGCAAATCTAATAAATGTTGGAGACATACTACATAAATGCACTAAATTGCATTTCAGCAGCATTTATTTGAGAGTGTGCAAGAAGATCTGCGCTTAAGCAGTGTAAATTTGAGGGCGTGCAAGAAGTTTTGTGCACAAGCAGAGGAAATCGCCGCGCAAGTAAAGAGATTTGCATACTCATAAATTCATGCGATCTCGACTTGTAATACTGCGCTCACGACATTTCTCCATTTGTCATTGAAATAACACCATAGGTAGTTGGTTGATTTGTGTAAAAGACCTGCCACCACAGCTGGAAAAAATCCTAGAGGAAACACTGATTTTTATTTTATAGTTTCAACTTTAGACACCACATGCTCAAAATCATTCCGTAGATTTATTTATTTTTGTTTATTCAAACGCCTACGCAAAAATAGTCAAGCCAAAGAATAACAATGGTTTGTTTGTAATAATACATACACATTAAAATTAGAAAATACCAGTTTGCAACCTCAAGAAGCATAACAAGGTTTTTCTTTGCTCTAAATCATTGGAAGTGTTTTAGAGCGAAAGTCTCAACCCAATTAGGATAATGTTACCTTTACTGCTTTATCAATTTAAAGCTGAATCTGATCCAAAAAAAAAAAAAAATAGCCAAGCTCAATCTATCAACTCTGCTAGCATGACTGAAGCAGAATGTAAACAGATTGGTATGTTTTTACTTTACAAAGTAGTTTTGATTTGCACCAAAAACACACTGTGACACCAGAACATAGCGGTGGCAATAACAATGCTACCGCAACTTTTTAGTAAAAGTTGAACCTGTGTGTACATTACCACTGTAATGAACATTTTCCCACAAAGTGAAACAGATTTGTTGCGGTGTGTTTGAACAAAGCATTTTAGGAAAGCACGAAAGACATATTTTCAAAAAACAATATCTCTTCGGGTTTAAGAGTACAGATCCCAAACATGCACAAGTCTCCAAAATTAATTCTCCAAAGACGAAAGAAAACATGTCATATGGCCATGACAATAGCTATGTTTGCTATAATAATGATTAAGGGTGTCACGATCCTCCAAATTCTCGATTCGATTACATTTTCGATTCTGAAGGCACGATTCGATTCGATTATGAATAATTAATTAATGACCAATTAATTATTTGTAGCCTACCGTTTAAACTACCTGACCTGCATGGTCTTTGTTTTACCCATAAACAAATCATACAGTAAATGAATAAAGGCAAGATACACACATAATTATCACCTGTCAATCACTTTTTCTGTGGGACTCGTGAATAGGCAGTGATCTGTGTCGTTATAATGGCGTCGGTAAAAAGAGGCACAACCAAAAATGACTAAGTACAAGTGAGTGAAAGATTAAAGCAGTCCTCTGACTGCCTGGACCTGCTGTCTCGAGCGCATGGCTGTGTGTGCGTCTGTGTCTGTGTGGTCACGTGATGTGCATTTTCACAGGTAGAGAGGAAGGAGGGCTGCTCAGAAATGCTACACGCCACTGTGGATGTCAAATCGTTGTCATTCTAAAATGCCATTTAAAAACAAAGACAGTGTAAACAGGGCCTGAGTGTGTACTTTTCGCTAGAGGATGTGCAACGGGGGTGGGCGGAGGATCGCTATGCCGGTGTTGTCTATCAGACCAACCGTACGTAATACGTATATAGCAGAGCTTGCAAAACTGTGTTTTTTTTGTCAACAACACGAACGTTGTCAACATAACTCACTGGAAATCCAAAATGCTTACACACTGGCGACTACATTGAAAGAGGAGAGGGTTTAAGTTCTGTCAAAGGTCTCCTGCTTCTGCAGTTCAACAAGCACTTCAACAAGCCTGTTATTTTCCCGCTTGACAAGCCAAGCTGACGTGACATGGGGGCGTGGCAGCATTGACGATTCTATTTTTTTAATTCGATAATCGAAATTGAGCATTAATTTCAGTCGATTTCGATTAAAAAACGAAATCGTGACACCCCTAATAATAATATTATAAATATTATAATAATAATCTTTTAATTTGATAAGATGCACAAACTACGAAGGAAACACAAATTCCAGTATGTGCTTTAAAAAGGTCATGTCGGCGCAATAGCCTAGTGGCAAGTGCTAGGCTTGGGCGGTAATACAATAATATGGTATACCGCGGGATCTAAAAATAGCAGCATGTCAGTTTCAATACCGTTAAACCAGCATAAAAAACAGAGCACTTAAATAGGAGACCAGTCTTAAATAATAAATATTATTTTTGAATTTTCTCCTTCTCACTCACGGCAAGATTTGGCGAGAGAATATCAAGTAAAACTGGCCTCAGAAAGTTTAGTTTAGTCTGCGTCAAACCTGCAGGACAATATCAGGCTTTGCTAGACGCTGGTTATTTTACCAACAATTAGTGTCACTAGTGATAACCTATTGCAGATTTCAAAGAAAAATCTTAATATTAGAATAGTAAACATAAGCTGCACCACAATAGATCTGATCAATGTCATAACGAATGCTCAAATGTAGCCTGGTTTACAGCAAGCATGCATGTTTTTAGTTAGATTGTGTGGTCTGTCAAATATAGTAGGCCTGTAGGTCTCTTATTTATTACTAAAGAAGATAAATTATTTGAGTTTAGCACCAGAGCTATAGAAACAGTATTATGCTTAGAAAAAAATTAATAAAAATATATAAATAGCACAGTATCGGGATCAGATCTGTATCGATCGATACTCAGAATTTTGGTGTTGAGATCGGATCCAAAAAAATGGTATTAGTGCATCCCAATTACTGTTTTTTTTTTTTGGAAAATCTGTAAAATAATTGTTTTAAAAAATAAATAAATAAATCTGCAATGATTTTAACATTGTTGTAACTAAAAACAATAACTTTAACGTTTATTTAAGGTTTACAATGCGAATGAAATTTGATTCATTTGTTTAGTAAATATAGAAAGTCTCTCATAAAAGCCAGAAAATGTCATTTTACAAACTGTAGGGCAAAAAAAAACCTAAAAACATTTACATATTAAACAATAATAGAAGTGAAAACAATCTAAAATTGGAGTATATTAAAACACAAATTTACATGAGTAAATAAATGAAATTAAAAAAAAAAAAAAAAACGGCTAAAAATCTACAGATTTCAGTGTTCACAAATTCCATAATTTTTCATAATTTCTATTTATTTATACCCATCAAAAACAGCTTGTTACCTGGATGTTGCAAACTAGCATTTTCTCATTATATATTGTTTTATGTATAGTCATAAACGCACTTTTGTATATTTAGAGTTTTTTTTTTTTTTTTGCAGTTTACTCCCCTTTGTTCCTACTCATTTCGCCCCTAGGCAAATGATTCACTATCTTTAAAAAAAAATGAATAAATAAATAAAAAAATTCACAGAAAAGAAGTTACATCTGCACAGCAGAATAAAGTGAACAGGAACATAATAGATGAACTCACTTTTTTCCTCTCGAGTGCCAGTTCCAGTTCCATGGTGTCTTCTTCTTGTTCTTCCTCCTCCTGGTCAGAAGATTCAGCTGACTGGTTCCTGCTGCGTTGGTTATTCTGACTCTCAGTGTCCCGGATCGCCGGCGAGTCTAAAAACGGAATGGTGTCTTTCTCTTGCTCCGGGGCGGCCTCTGGGGTCTCCTCCATGCCCAGCGTCTTCTTTCGCCACTTCTCCTCTGCCTCCTTTACCTCCTCTGGGATGAGAGGTGCGAGGAGAGTAGCTGCCACCCCTCTCCGCTCTTCTTCCTCGCTGGTCAAAGCCACAACACTCTCGATTACATCCTGTGAGGATAGAGAAACTAATGACCACTTATCTTATGTAATAAAGAGGTTAAGTTGGGCCGAAAAAAAAACACCTGCCTTCTTTTTGAGCTCTCTCTTAGCAGCAGGAGCAACCGCAGTGGATTGCGGTTCAGGATAACTGCTATGAGCCACACCATTGCCATTTACAGATGAGCTGTAAAAAAATGCATTTAAAGCAGAATGAACATATAAATACATTGAACATAAAATATTATATAGCAACATGTATATGGTTAGCCCTACTTAGTTTTTTCGCAACTACAAATAATTGACTGCATATCTAATGCAACTACATGTATAATATGGAGAATAAAATAGTGTTGCTTATTATTATAAAAAATATGTTTAATTATTATAGGTTAATATTAATAATACAATAAACAGTAATACAAAAATATACATTTACAAACCTGATTCCAAAAAAGTTAGGACACTGTAAAAATTGTGAATTAAAAAGGAATGCAATAATTTACAAATCTCATGAACTTATATTTCATTTACAATAGAATATCGATAACATATCAAATGTTGAAAGAGAGAATTTTTTATATTTCAGGCCAAATGTTGGATCATTTTGGATTTCAAGACAGCTACACATTCCAAAAAAGTTGGGACAGATAGCAATAACAGGCTAGAAAAGTCAAATGTACATATTAGAAACAGCTGGAGGACCAATTTTCTACTTATTAGGTAAATTGGCAACATGATTGAGTGTAAAAAGAGCCTCTCAGAGTGGCAGTGTTTCTTAGAGGTTAAGATGGGCAGAGGATTACCAATTTCCCCAATGCTGCACCAAAAAATTGTGGAGCAATATCAGAAAAGAGTTTCTCAGCAAAAAATTGCAAAGAGTTTAAAGTGATCACCATCTACAGTGCATAATATCATCCAAAGATTCAGAGAATCTGGAACAATCTCTGTGAGTAAGGATCAGGGCCAGAAAACCATACTGGATGCCCGTGATCTTTGGGCCTTAAAACGCCATTGCATCACAAACAGGAATGCTACTATAATAGAAAACACAATATGGGCTCAGGACTACTTCCAGAAAACATTGTCGGTGAACACAATCCACCGTGCCATTCGCCGTTGCCAGATAAAAGTCTATAGGTCAAAAAAGAAGCCATATTTAAACATGATCCAGAAGCGCAGGCTTTTTCGCTGGGCTAAGGCTCATTTAAAATGGACTGTGGGAAAGTGGAAAACTGTTCTGTGGTCGGACAAATCAAAATTTGAAGTTCTTTTTGGAAAACTGGGATGCCATGTCATCCAGACTACAGAGATCAGGGACAACCCAAGTTGTTACCAGCGCTCAGTTCAGAAGCCCGCATCTCTGTTGGTATGGGGTTACATGAATGCATGTGGCATGGGCAGCTTACACATCTGGAAAGGCACCATCAATGCTGAAAGGTATATCCAAGTTCTAGAACAACATATGCTCTCATCCAGACGTCGTATCTTTCAGGGAAGACCTTGCGTTTTCCAACATGACAATGCCAGACCACATACTGCATCAATTACAACATCATAAATGCATAGAAGAAGGATCCATGTACTGAACTGGCCAGGCTGCAGTCCAGATCTTTCACCCATAGAAAACATTTGGCGCATCATAAAGAGGAAGATGCGACAAAGAAGACCTAAGACAGTCGGACACCTAGAAGCCTGTATTAGACAAGAATGGGAGAACATTCCTATTCCTAAACTTGAGCAACTTGTCTCCTCAGTTCCCAGACATTTGCAGACGGTTGTAAAAAGAAGAGGGGATGCCTCACAGTGATAAACATGGTCTTTTCCCAACTTTTTTGAAATGTGTTGATGCCATGAAATATAAAATCAACTTATTTTCCCCTTAAAATTATAATTTTTTGCAGTTTAAACATTTGACATGTCATCTATGCTCTATACTGAATAAAATATTGAAGTTTGTAGCTTCCACATCACTGCATTCGGATTTTATTCACAATTGGTACAGTGTCCCAACTTTTTTGGAATTGGGTTTGTAACTTGTTTGTTTAGAACCAATTTAAAACTTTTACCTTCAATCCAAATTATACAATTCAAAATTAACTAAATGTGCAAACCCTTATATGCACACATATTTATTTATATTAAATTCAGTTTATTTTAAACTTTTTTTTCCATACTTAACAATTAAAATGTATTTGAAGAAATATTACATAACTACATCATGCTAACAGTTTCTTTTGTCATATTATAGGTAGGGTTGAGCGATGTCGACCAATTTGGCATCGTACGATGTCTAATATGAAAATTTGCGATGGACGATGGCATCATCGTCATTGGCGACAGTGAATTAATTATGAATAGTTAATTCAGTTATAACCACTTAATTATTTGTAGCCAACCGTATTACTACCTGACCCACATGGTCTTTGTTTTACCCATAACCAAATCATAAATGAATAAAGATAAAGTACACGCATAATTACCACCTGTCAATCACTTTTTCCGGAGGACTCGTGAATAGGCATGAATAGGCAAGAGTGATCCGTGTCGTCATAATGGCGTTGACAAATTTGGTTGGTAAAAAAGTGCACAGCCAACAGGAACCAGCCAACAGTATCTGAGGTTTTCGCTAAAATTACTAAGTACAAGCGTGAAAGTGAAAGACTGAACCAGTCTACTGACCCAATGACTGCCTGCAACCGCTGTTTGCAAGCGCATGACAGTGTGTGTGTGACTGTGCCTGTGTTTGTGGTCACGTTGTTGTCCGTTTTCAGCAGTATGTGGAAGGAGTGCTAATTAGAAGTCCTAGGTGAAACGCCAGAGTGGATGTGGATCACTTTCGTTCTAAAATGGCATTTAAAAACTAAGACCTATTAGTGTAAACAGGGCCTGAGTGTGTATTTTTCGCGAGCGGATGATCGCGATGCCGGCTCAGCATCGTGGTGTCTGTCGGCCATCGGCGATGGCATCGTCTATCGGCCCAACCCTAATTATAGGCCTCCCATAGTAATTCAGGATAAGAGTTTATATTTTTACATGTTCTTCAACAAACATATAAACATTACCAAAAGCTCCACATCAAATATTTTTAATGCCATGTCAGCAACAGTAGCTTTCATGGCAAACTTATTTCAATTATTAATATACAATTAAAAGCCACAAACAAATTGATTAGATTTAAACAAATTAGATGGGATTTTTAATGTTAATGCATGATATAAAAATGTTTTAAAATGTTTACTATTTTGCTGAATATCTGCTTGAGGAATTTTATTTAATAAAAGATTTCTCCAATCATTAAAAGTAAAACAATCCAATAGAATGTGTCATTTTAGAATGAACATTAAATTAAAAATCACTTTGCTGAATATCTCCTTGAGTGAGATAATTACAATTCAAAAATGCAAAAAAAATTGCTGTAATTAAGAAAGCAGGATAGTCAACTAGAATGTCGAATTATGTAGAATAAACACTGAGAGGGTCTTCACTTCTGAACAAACCTGCATATTGCAGCTTAAATGTATTAGTTTCAGCTATTACATACTACTAAAAATGTATTCCTCACTAGACTGCCAGCAAAATGTCTGTTTGGCAACCTCACAATCAAGAACTGACCTGCCAGAGTAATGTAGATTCTGCATCTGGTCTGCCAGGTAATGCGGGAGTTCCCAGGCCACCTCATTGGTCTGAGTATTCCAATAGTAGTAACAGCCAGTATTTTCATCCCATACCTCCTGCCAATCCCCCATCTCCAACCCAGCTACAATATTGCAAAGTACAGGAAAACAAAAATTAGGTTTAATAATTTTTCACTTGCATTATAAAACAAAACCAGTTAACTAGAAATGTCACCTCCGGCGAGGGAATATTGCGTGTTGTATTGAAATTCTTGTGCAGGTCCGTTTTGAGCCTGAGGGTCTGTTTTGGGTTCGGGACGAGGTGGAGTTGGGACTGGTGCACTCGGCTCGGTACCAGATTCATCCGTTGGTTGGGTTGTAATGGCATCAATTTCCTTTGGGAGAGACATACAATATGTCTCATGTCAGTAGAAAATATAGACAGGTGTTTATGCGCACAACCAAATGTATACACGCTAAAGTAGATTTAGAACCTCACTCACCGCCATAAAATTGGCAAGTGTGCTATCAATGTCTCCAGACTGGTTATGTTTTGCTTTAGAGGCGTTTTCCACTGCATCTTCATCTTCGCTGTCTTCATAAGCTCCAAGTAGAGATAAACCCTCTACAGAGATGACAAAATTATTTTTAGCACACTATAATAATTATGATAAATATATTGCTTTATTAAAATGACACAAGCAAATGTGCTAAAATAAATACATACCAGTGCTTCCCACACAACAGACTTTACTTGGGCGGGCTACCCAGGCATATTAACGGCCGCCCGAGTATATTTCGTGACACTTTTTTTCTATTATTATAAATCTTTTATACTATTTTGTATCTGCCCAATATAAACAAACATCCGCGAGCGAATAGTGAGAAATCATCTCTCCTTTACCCATTTCATACTGCTTTTTCAGTGTGTGCAAGACTGTCAACACTCCCATAGACAGTCTCACATGCCTTGCAGACCCATAGAGACCCGCAGCTTTTTGTGTCCGGCAGGGATTTTTAAATTTGGCCGGTCGGGATTTGGTTTTGCTTTCGGTTTCTAAGCTGTCGTTAATTTTATGGGCACAGCTGCAAGAGTGAGAGAAACAATAAATAATGAATTCTTTAATCTTAACGGCTCAGAAAAACTTTACTAATTAGTCGAAGAGGACGAAATTACATCTAAATTGGCTGCAGAATATTTGTACATCAATAGAAACGTTTTATTCTTGCAATTATTGTAATTTTTAGGGAATGTTTCTTTTTATTCCTTTTTTCTGTCGTTTGTTTCTTATTTGCTGTACATCTTATTAATTTTAATGGTGTCAATATATTACATAATTTATATATCTAAAATGTTTTGGCAATACTGTATAAAATGTCATACCAATAAAGCCACCTCTTGTCCGTTTTTCGAACGTGGATTACTCAGTTAGCTGGAATTGGTTACTGATGATTTGACACGATCCAGGATCGTTTCGTTGCTCAAAACTTAGGCTGCTGTGCCATCAGCCAATCGTTGCATTGCTGATCTTGATTTCGAGGATCGATAGATCTGGCCTTCACAACACACACAGCGATCTCAGATCAGTTCATCCAGACATTTTAATCTGATTCACAAACTTGTTTGAAGAACCAAATTAGCCAAAGATCAGTTATCAAGATTAAAAGATCCAGGATCTGCCAAATTATCTTAGATCATTTAAGCGAGCTATGAAAAACACTCTCCTGAACTTGAATGAATTTGAATGAGATTTTACCTGTAAGTGGCTCCTAAATATCATTGAAAAAAGAAACAGCGGATTTTATTTTTTTTTTAACAGTCTTTTTATTTTACTTTAAACCATTAAAAAAAAGTTTAAAACAAACAAAAATAAAAAGTGTTCAAAATCGAATTATCTTTTGTGTCGCATACAGTTAATTTTTTATGTACTTTAGGTAAATGGTGTGTTTCAATCTAGCTACCACCATAAGTATATTTCAAACCTGTAGGAAGCACTGCAAACTAATATAGATATAAAAGTAAATATAATATATATCACAATTTTAAAAATATGTTAACATTTGTATACATCAATACATTTATTAATATATAATAATATACTAATTAAAATGTTACCTTGTGTGTGTGTATATATAAAGTTGAAGTCAGAATTATTAGCTCCCTTTGATTTTTTTTTTCTTATTTCAATATTTCCCAAATGATGGTTAACAGAGCAAGGACATTTTCACAGAATGTCTTATTATATTTTTTTCTTCTAGAAAAAGTCTTGTATTATTTTGGCTAAATTAAACAAGTTTTTTTTTTTTTAAACATAAAGGTCAAAAGTATTAACCCCTTTAAGCTATATATTTTTATATAGCCTACAGAACAAATGATCATTATACAATAACTTGACTTATTACTACAACATGCCTAGTTAACTTAATTAATCTATTTAAGCCTTTAAATGTCACTTTACGTTGTATAGAAGTGTCTTGAAAATTATCTAGTAAAATATATTATTTACTGTCATTATGGCAAAGATAACAATTTCTAATAAATCAGTTATTAACAAATGTGTTATTAAAACTATTGTTTAGAAATGTGTTGAAAAATATCTTCTCTCCGTTAAACAAAAATTGAAGAAATAAAAATAAACGGGGGTTAATAATTCTGACTTCAACTGTATATGTTTGTGTTGTGATAGACAGACAGACACAGACAGACAGATAACGATAGATAGATAGATAGATAGATAGATAGATAGATAGATAGATAGATAGATAGATAGATAGATATGTTTGTGATTTAATTAAGCATGCAATACATACAGTATACATCCTTAACGTTAGTGAAAATAATGTAACGTTAGTATAACTCACGTGTGGCCTTCACAGCTGGTGTCTTCATGACTACATTAACGTTTGCTTCTCTCTGCCCATCAGTGTTTCCATCGGTTTCGTCTACAGAAGAAAATAAACAGTTTGTAACGTTTTATTAAAACACTTAAGTTACAACCAAACTAAGCTGTGGCTTTTAAGGTGACAGTGAATTAGCATGTTGGCTAACGCTTTGTCTGAAGCCCAGCGCGGCTCACTCAAAATACGGCTTATAAACGACTCAATCAACAAACAAACATAATATATTACAATAAACAGATAAAATGTGAATTCACGCTTTTTACGTCATAACTTGCTTGACAAGCTCTATCCGTAAGCACAATTTTCGGTTCGTCGGTAATGGTGGCTAATGCTAACTTGACATACGGTAATTCACAAGATATGACTGAACCACAGTTTGTATTAACATTAGATTTTTAAAACAAACAACATCTCTTTATTACGATTAGCCAAATGACTGTTTTTATTAATTAAATTCATTTTATAATCACTAGAGCGCTAATTTTTCCAAAAATGTTTCATCTAACGTTAGCAAGCTAAGTTACATTGTGTATTTGAATCCATCTATAGATCGCTTCCTCTCCCACCTTCAGATCCAGAAGCGGCCCCGTCCTCTCGAGCAGTTCCTGTGGCGCTGCGGTTCGGTCCTGGCGGTGAAAGCTGTAATATGGTTCTCCTGCCGGTGCCTGCTCGAGTCTTCTTCCCCATCACTGCTGTAATAACGGAGCTCCGCACTCAATCACAGCCCCGTGTGTGGAAGCGATCGGGCTTTCTTTCCAAATGGCTGATTGACGCCGTGCTCTTCAAAATAAAAGCTCTTGCGTAACTTCAGCGTTTTGGCTTTCTTCCTGACAAATATGTTCACGAGAATGCTGTTGTTGTAACAGCTGGATATAACGTAAAATGTATTTTTTGCAAGAAAAATATAAGCCTTTTATATGTTATTATGATTAAGAGAACAACTTTGAATTAAAATTTCGCGTAGACCTGCTGCGAAAAAAATATTATTACTATTATTATTATTATTATTATTATTATTATTATTATTATTATTATTATTATTATTCATTCATTCATTCATTTTCTTGTCGGCTCAGTCCCTTTATTAATCCGGGGCTGCCACAGCGGAATGAACCGCCAACTTATCCAGCAACTTTTTAGGCAGCGGATGCCCTTTCACCCGCCATACAACCCATCTCTGGGAAACATCCACACACACATTCACACACTCATACACCACGGACAATTTAGCCTACCCAATTCACCTGTACCGCATGTCTTTGGACTGTGGGGGAAACCAGAGCACCCGGAGGAAACCCACGCGAAGGCAGGGAGAACATGCAAACTCCTCACAGAAACGCCAACTGAGCCGAGACAGCACTACCTACTGCGCCACTGTTATTAATATTATTATTATTATATTATAATAATGATTCGTCTCATCATAAATTAATACTAATTCCACTGCTACAACTATAGCTAAAAAATGTTAGTATTTTTTTTGTAAAAATATCAGTGTTTATATTGTAGAATATATATTATTTTCTTAATAATAGCAATAGTTTATTAGTAAAGATATTGGTATAATTATTAGATAAGTCATTAGATTTTTATAAAACACTATAATATAAACTTTAATATAAATATCAGCATGTTTATGTTCTTTACATTAATATTCGTTGAATATATGTGGGGTTCTTATGTATGTACATTTATTTATTATAAATTTCATTAACACTATTATTTTATATTAGCCTATATATATTTATTTTTTATTATACCATTATTTTAATAGCCTACATGTTCATACTAATATATTACTCATTAAAGAATATAATAGTAATAATAATAATAATAATAATAATAATAATAATAATAATAATAATAATAATAATAATAATGATAATAATAATAATAATAATAATAATAATAATAATAATAATAATAATAATAATAATAATAATGCATTTTATTTAAAGGTGCCTTTCTGGAAAATTAAGGACACCGTATAGTAAAACAAGAACAATAAAACAACAAGAGAAATAATGTAAAGTGTCCACAACAACAGTTCCGATACAATTAAGCTTTAAGTAATACTGAAATAAGTAAACCTAAAACTAATTGATTTACAAATATAAATACTGGGGCGATGCAGTGGCGCAGTAGTGCTGTCGACTCACATCAAGAAGGTCACTGGTTCGAACCTCGGCTCGGCTCAGTCGGCGTTTCTGTGTGGAGTTTGCATGTTCTCCCTGCGTTTGCGTGGGTTGGTGCTCCGGTTTTCCCCACAGTCCAAAGACATGTGGTACAACTAAATTGGGTAGGCTAAATTGTCCATAGTGTATGAGTGTGTGTATGAATGAGTGTGTGAATGTTTCCCAGAGATGGGTTGTGGATGGAAGGGCATCCGTCCTTCTGGATATCTGGATAAGTCGTTGGTTCATTCCGCTGTGGAATTGACCCCGGATTAATAAAGGGACTAAGCCGACAAGAAAATGAATGAATGAATGAATATGAATACTGTATACAAGCTTAAACACAAAACGTTAAGATATTTTACATTTAAGCATTGTCATTATCATTGTATTTATTTAAACACTTAAGTGCACAATTCTGAGCAACATTTGATCGGTTATTATGGTTCAATCGTTCATAATGTCTTCACAAAATGTTCAACCTGTAAATTCAGTGAACGATATCCTGCTTTACTCCATATTACAGAGCAGGAGGATTGCAGAGGATGATTAAAACCTATTAAGAGCCTTACATCAAAATGGAGACCCAAATCTGTTACAGGAAACCTGCATTATTTATGAACAGGGGCACATAGTTAGAATTGTACAATTTATCATTGACACGGCCAGCCTCACTGATTCACTGAATCGATGTGCTACAGACTAGAACATGAAGAAAGAAACTTAAAAATAATATCACAGTAAAAACTGTAAGAAATTAACTAAACAATCAAACAAATAATGGCATTTAGCACACATATCTAATTTAGGATAATATAAATGTTGTGTTAATGAAAGAAGTATGTATAAAATACAATAAATGTGTAATGTTTCAATTAATAATGTTTAAACGTCTAATAAACAGTTGAAGGTAAATTTATTTGTGCTTTATTTGAAATTAAACAAAATAATTTTCAATTATATCCCAAGCGCTATGAAGAATTAAAAAAAAACAACAACAAATTTTAAACACTTTGAAAAATGTATTAGCTTTAATAACTAATATCTCATAAGTAAGTAGAAATTCTAATAAGAAATTCTAATGAATTATTGTGCAAGAAACTAGCATTCAGCTTAAAATGTGATTAAAAGCTTGGTTAGGCAAATTAGTTAAGTCACTGAACAACAGTTTGTTCTGTTGTTATTTTATTTTTTTTAATTCATAAAGAGGCTGATAAAATTGGCCCAAAAATATATAAAAAAAGTTAACGTTTTTTTTTATTCTAGACAAATTAAAAGAAATATGATTTTTTTTTTCCTGAAGAACAAAAATAGATTCATGGGGAAAGTTGTTTTATTAAAAATCACTTGGAGATAATTGAAAAAAAAAAATTTAAATAAAAATTTTGACTTCAACTGAGTATACGAATTATTTATTATCTATATAAATAGTTATATTGATTGCTGAACAAATATTAACGGCGATTAATCACATCCAAAATAAAAGTTTGTTTTTACATAATATATGTGTGTGCTGTATTCATTATGTATAGAAATATACACATGCATTCCTATATTTGAGATAAATATTATTTATATTCATATACAAAATATATATGTACATTATATAAATTATATATAAATTTAAATATCTAATAAAAATGGTGCTGTTACAGTTTAGTTTTTATGTTAGTGTAACTGTAAAAAAAAAAAAATCAGTAAATTTACGGTTAAATTCCGGCAGCTGGGGTAAAATACTGTAAAATAACACAAATTAAATGACAGCAATTTACCAGACATTTAAATTTAAGGAAATTTCGGTAATTTTTGTAATTTAATATTTGTTATTTTACCTATTATTTTAAGGGGGGGTCTGGCATCTGGCACCCTAGCTAATGGAAATAAACCGTAAAATTACAGATTTTTTTTACAGTGTATACACTTAAATTTCTGGTAAATTTCTGTAATTCAAAATAAAATTCTGTAATTTAACGGCCGTTATTTTACGGGGTTTTTTTCCGGCACCCCAGCTGGAATTTTTTTACAGTATATATATACTGTATGTATATATATATATATATATATATATATATATATATATATATATATATATATATATATATATATATATATATATATATATATATATATACATATTATACATAAATATTATACATAAATAATAAACCCACATATCTTATGTCAAAACAAACGTAATTAATCTTTGCCCAGCACTTTTATTTACATTCAAATATGTTTCATTCTGCTTCAAAAATCTATCAAATATTTGTCGTAGATTTTAGACAAATTATAAAACATACTACTTTTGTAAAAAAAAGAAAAAAAAAGAAAACAAACAACATATTTTCATCTTCCTTCAGTTCCATAAAACTATGTAAAAACAAAAGTCACTAATTCACTCATTCACTTCCAGTGATCACCGCAGCTTTCGCGCTTGCATTGGCAACCTTTCCATCCCCTTCTTCTTCCTCATCATCACTGCAGTCAGCCCATCGGCCCACCCGTCTCACACCTTCGGCCACCACAGGAGCATTAATGCAAGGATTGTGGTCGTAGATGACAAGCTTCAAGCCTCTTAAATGGGTGAGCGATGGAAACTGACAAATGCGATTGCGGTCCACATCCATCACCTCCAAGTAATGCATCTCCAACAGCACAGGAGGGAAGTCGTTTAACAAGTTCCCAGCTAACCAGATACTGCGCAGCTCTTCCAGTCGCCCGAGCTCGGCGGGTAAACTCCGTAGCTGATTGTAGCCTAAATGGAGCGTCTTGATGTTGGGGAGCTCACATATTACTTGAGGGAAACTGGTGAAACAGTTGGTCTCCAGCCACAAGGTTTTCAACTCTGTGAGTTGCTGCAGTTCCTTTGGCAAACTGTACAGTCGGTTATTACCGAGGTAGAGGATGTTCAGCTGAACGAGGCTGCATATGACCAGAGGAAGCTCCTCGAAACAGTTGAAGTCCAACGCTAGAAGTTGGAGCTTCTGCAGGTTGCGCAGCTCTAGTGGAAGGTTGCTCAGGTGGTTGTCGCTCAAGTAGAGTTTGACGAGTTCATCAAAGGCAGAAGCTCTGACTGGAAAGCGACGCAATTGTCGACTGCTCAAGTCCAGAGTACGATCTAGGGGCATTTCCTTTAAGTCGCCTACTAAGAAACGTTGACACCTCTCAGATGGCACAAAGGCTATGGCACCGCGTACAACATTTCCCATCTTCTTGGCCCAAAATCATGGTCTCTGGGGAAAAAAAAATGTTTTTTAAATTTTTTTTTTTAAGTTACAGAAAGAGATTTTTCAAGCAATGGTGTACACCGAGGATTCTGTCCTGCTTTCGGATACCTAAACCAAGTCTTGATGTTTATTGATGTCAAAAAACCTTCATATCAATATGACATCTTATTGACATCTAAAATTGGCATCAGGAAACACGTTACAATTGATTACAGGACTGTTCTATAACAGTTGTCAATTTGATGTCATTTTGACCAATAGGTAAAGGCAAATTTGGAAATGGAAGGTTTTTATTGATATTGAAAGTTCTTCATGTTTTCATCAATGCCAAAAATTAAAGTCTGCATGAACTGGAAGTTGCTGA